TGCACATATTCGACTCAGACATCGCATGGACCGGGAATGCAAAGTTGCCCCCAACCCCCCTCCCCCTCCAAAAAAAACGCTTTGGAATCTGTTATGTTCAATCCTCCTTGTATATCGTCTTCGATTATGTAGTACGTGGTTGGGATACAATGTTTATTCAGACTATTTCCATAGCTGGGAGACGAAGCAGTCATGAAGTTTTCATCAGCTTTCAAGATGAACTGACCATTACAGATGACTATTAATCTATGGAATTCACCTGGGCGATGGTAATATCACCAAATTATCACCTCGGGGGATGTGTGTTAGAATCCCACCACCGCCCCCTAAATTTCCCTATGGTAACCGTTTGATTCGCCGTTTCCCCCTTCCTGAAAATTGCATCATTGTGTATTCAATAGAAGGAAGTAAATTTGGAAAAAAAAGAAAAACGAAAAGAAGAATGTCAGCGACAATAATTCAAACGCTAGCCAGCGTATTTCCATGCAAATGATATTTCTTAATGTTTCACCACCAGCATCCTAATTGGCCTTGTCTTTGCATCATATCCACACTCCTTAAAATCGCTTCTAAACATCTTTAATCCGATACACAGTAAATAATCAAGTTATTAAGGAAAGCAGAGTTCTTAAAACAGAAGTTGTGCTTTGAATTTGCTTATTTTATCGGCCAACTTAAGGGATCATGCCTGATACCGTTTTCACTGCCTCATTTCGTTTAGAATTGCTGTGGATGAAAAGACAGCCATATGTCTCCTACATGTCTCTTTGGGTCTCCCGTCCGATCCGGAATATATTCTGATTCACGGTACGTACCGTCTGAGTTTGACCGATCATGACTGTTCGTCTTGTCTAGTTCTGTTATGCCTTAATCATCTCCCATCTGGAAAGCGTCGTCTCCTCAACATGATCTTGAATGCAGGTTTGCACAATTTATCCCGAATCATCCTGCTCCTTCATCAGTATACATGCGTCGTGCTTCAGTTTAAATGATAAACAATATATTTTTGTTTTTTAAATCACACATTCA